TAAATCCTAAACCCCAAACCCTAAGCCCAATAAACCCTAATCCTCCACTTTAAACCCTAGTATAACCATAATAGGGAACCCCCAAAATAGTAGTGGTAACTATCTAGGCCCCTACATGAAACTCTTGAACCCTCCACTTTAAACCCTAAACCCAATAAACCCTAAACCCTAAACCCTGAACCCTAAACCCCAAACCCCAAACCCTAAACCCAATAAACCCTAATCCTCCACGGTAAACCCTAGTATAACTATAATAGGGAACCCCAAAAATACTATTGGTAATTATCTAGGCCCCTACATTAGACTCTTGAGCCCTCCACTTTAAACCCTTGTCAAAAGCCTACGGTGCCGACCTGGGCTCACGAGGCTCATGGCGCCGGATCGGCGCCGCCCCCGCACGGCGCGGCTTCGAGCCGAAAGCTCTAATCTTGGGTTTAGGGCTTTGGGGCATACGCCCTACTGTACACCCAAAGGGTTTAGGGTTTACGATGGTTTAGGGTTTAAGGGCCTTGAGAGATGGAGGTGTTCTCAAGGGGTTCCGGGTCCTGAACAGGATACCAGGGCTTCCATGAAGGTTTTGTGCTGTGAGGGTTTGGATTGTGTGGTTGAAGCGTCTTGGGGCTTTAAGGATCTAAAGCTCAAGGGTTTTAAGGGTCTAAGTTTAGGGCTTGGGTTTAGTGTTGCAGAATCTTTAATGTGGTGGCATATGGTGGCATTGTGACGTCTTTGAACTTGTCTGCTTCCCTATGTTTTTTAGCTGTGGAGCTTGATGATACCCCTAAACCCTAATCCACCAACCATAAACCCTAAACCCCTAAACCCCCAAACCCTCAACCCTAACCCTAAATCCTAAACCCTGAACCCTAAACCCCTAAGCCCTAAACCCAGACAGCTTTGTCAGGGGTACATGAAGGGTCTGAATACGGCTTTCGAAGGCTTCGGATAAAGTTCGGATCTAAGGTTCAGGATGTAGGGTTCTGGGCTCCAGAGTTAGGGTTGAGGGTTTGGGGGTAGGGCGTGCGTTGTTAGGCCCTTTACCCTCAAGGTTTGCAAAGCTATGAACTGGAATGTGATGTGGATATTCTTCTTCGTGCTATGATGCAACTCGTGAATATTCAACGTCACGCTGGCCTCCGTTGGGACTCTTCCCAGAAGGTCTGGCTGAAATCCCACACTCCAGCTTAGCTCCCTCACCAAGTTACTCGTAAGTCCTAAACCGACAGCAGACCAGAAAGCCCCCAGAAAATGCAACAGTTATGCACTCCCGCCTTACGCCCTGTCAAGCATGTAGGCTTTTGTACTTCAGAGAACTATCTACCAAGTATACCCCAAAACCCCATATATCCCATTCTTCGGGTCCTGAGCTGCCACTCGTCAGCACCCAAGGGAGAACTCGAAGGGAGGATTGGGCTTATAGGGTTTGGGATTTAGGATTTAATTCGGGTGGAGGGTTCAGGGTTTAGAGTTTGAGTTTGAGGTTTAGGGTTTAATTCGGGTTGAGGGAGGGGATGGATCAAACCCTAAACTGTACCTAAACCCTCAACCCTCAACCCTATGAGCCGTAAGCCCAAACCCTAATCCCGAAGTCCCAAACCCTGAAACGGCCCCAATCCCTGAACCCCAAATTTCATTTAGAACCGTTGCATAGAGCCCTTGTTGTAGAACCCGCATAGAGCCGCAGAACCCTCTCAGCAAGCCTTATAAATCATGCCCTGAGTAATTTACAGTTAGCCTTTATAAGAACCTTTGTACCTCACCGAAGAGCCAAAAAAGCCCTAAACCCTGAAACCCCAAACCCTTAGTAGCATTCGCCAAAGAGCCAAAGAGTCAGCGTTTTCATGCGCATAAAAAGCCTAAACCCTAAACCCTAAACCCTACACCCCTATAAGCCCTAGACCCCTAAGCCCAAAGCCCTTTGCCGCATACCAAAAAACGCAAAAAACTCGCGCCTCGAAAAGAAACTCCTCGCTTGCGAGAGGAAGCCTTTCCGCGCTGCTTGCGACCTCGAAGGCTCTGTGATCGGTGGGGATTACGGGTTTAGGGGTTTTGGGTTTTGGGGTTTTGGAGTTTTGGGGGTTTTGGGGTTTACGGGTCTCTTGCGATTCTGTGGGGAGAACGGCATTTTAGGGGTTTAGGGTTTAGGGGTGTAGGGAGGGGGGTTTAGGGTTTAGGGGTCTGGGGTTTAGGGTTACGGGTTTAGGGGTTTTGGGTTTTGGGTTTTGGGGTTTTGGGGTTTTGGGGGTTTGGGGGTTTTGGGGGTTTTGGGGGTTTTGGGGTTTTGGGGGTTTTGGGGGTTTTGGGATTGTAGGATTAAGGTTCATGGGTTTAGGGGTTGACACGTTAGGGATTAACCCTAAACCCTAAACCCTAAACCCTAAACCGGGTTTAGTTTTTTGGAGTTTGGGCTGCAGAGTTCCCTGGACTTCCTTTCTGACTTCTGGACTTCACATCTTGTGACCCAGACGCGGCAAAACCCAGGGTGTAGGGTTTAGGGCTTAGGGTTTAGGGTTTAGGGTTTAGGGTTTAGGGAGGATGCTGGAAGATGTGCGGGAGCTCAAAACCCAGACGCAAAACATAGCTACAACACCCGACACCCTGAAACACGCCCCTAATCCAACCCAGATAACACTCAAGGAAGTAACCAACAACTTCCGGTTAGCAGCAACGTAGATGATGTCAGAATCCAGAAACGTCTCTAAGCCGGGAAGTATATGATCTCAGGATCCAAAAACGTCCTTAAGCCTGGAAAACCATAGTCCTAAGACCTTCCCGACCTGTCTGCTGGAAAAACAAGTGGCTTCGCGAGCTCTTCGAAGCCGTGGACGGCCTCCTCGATGGAGAGGACCCCATCGCGATTCTGCCGGCGCAGCGGGACCATACGGGTCCGCAGGGGCTCATGAGAGATATTACCCTAAGGGTCCATGTACCCAAATAGTATATACTTGGCCTCAAAGTAGTCCCTTCTTCGGTACTTTGGGGCCAAAATAAGATACTATTTGGGGTACATGGACCCTTAGGGTCACGAGGGCTGAGGGTTCAGCGTTTAGACCCCAAGCCCTAAACCCCAAACCTAACCACGGAGCCCGAACCCCAAAAATGCCTCCATGCTTCCTAAGGTAAACCATGTCGCCAACCCTAAACCCTAAACCNNCCTTAAACGCTAAACCCTTAAACCCTTAAACCCTAAACCCTAAACCCTAAGCCCTAAACCCTTTGGGAATGGACAGCCATCGATGTGGTAAGCCTTAGTGTATAACCCCAACTTACCAAGCTACTTGATCCGATAAGTAACTCAAAACACACTTCTAAGATCGTAAAGCCCCAAAGGTTTAGGGTTGATAGAGTTTAAGGTTTAGGGTTAAGGTTATAGGGTCTAGGGTTATAGGGTTCAGGTTTAGGGTTGTAGGGTTTAGGGTCATGGTTTAGGGTTACAGGGGTTTAGGGTTTGGGATTATAGGGTTTAGGGTTTAGGGTAAACCCTTACATTCCTAGAAGGACAGCTCTGCGCCATGGGACCTCGTCAAACTCCTGGAAGAAGCGCCAGAGCGCCGTGTGAGGCGAGTCGTCCTCTGGCTGCGCCCAGGCTACCAGACCTCTGGGTGGTCGGACTCTTTTGGTGTTCCTCTAAGGGCTCCTTCAAGGGCTCTTTGATGGGTTTCTTTGGGGTTCATTTAAGGGTTTCGCGCTTAGTTTTGGGAGTTTGGGCTTTGGGGTTTCCACTTGAAGGGTTTCTTTTAGTGGTCCACGGGCTACTATCGGGTTTGGGATTAGGGTTTGGGGCAAGGTTTAGGGTTTTTGGGTTTGGGGGCTTCGGGCTTTAGGGTTCGGGGTCGGATTTTGGGCAACGGTTTTTAGAAGGCTAGAGATTCAACCACGCTAAATCGCTCCAGGGTTTAGGGTTTAGGGTTCAGGGAACTTGGAAAAAGCCGGCCGCCCTGCTCACAGCCAGATCTCGTGCACATCTAGAGGACCAGGCTCATTTTCGGAGATATCTCCCGCTACCACTGCGTCTATCGAAGACTACAGTGGTAATTCCTCAGACTCCTGTCGCCACTGGAAGCCTAAAACAAAACCCCACGCCCTAAATTCCTAAACACTACACACCTGCAACCGACAGCTTAAACTTGAAAGCGCCGTCGTTTAGGAACAGGTTGAAATAATGTCTCGGGAGTAGGACCTGGGGCCTAGGGAGTACTCCTGCACCCCAAGAACGATCCTGGCTCCAGAACCCTGAACACACAAACACACACAGACTCCAACAAATTGAAAGCTCCTCATTAAGAAGTCTTCCCCATGCCGTAGGACGACTTCTCGAAAAGGAGGCTGAAGCCAAGGAATGTTGGAGTCTCCCAGGCTAAGGTTTAGGGTGTAGGGTTTTAGGATAGGGTATAATTAGGGGTTGGGATACGGTTAAGGGGCTCTGGGGTTTAGAGAAGCATTCTCTCGGCTGTTGCGGTCGCGGGACTTTGCCGTAGCTCTGTGAGCTCGTCAGCAAGAGACGCTGGAAAGTCCTTAGGAAAGGATTTTAGAGTTCAGGTTTTGCTTAGGACAGAAATTTGAGTTACGGTTTCAGGGTTTAGGACTTAGGATAACGAGGCAGGTTCAGGGAAAGGCCACGGTTCATGATGCTTTATGATCAGCGGTCGGCTCGTCGAGCTGGTGCAGTGCATACAAGCTGCCTGGCGCAATGTTTCTGCTTGGACGGGTTCTGTAGAGCTCGACAAATGAGATTATGCGAATGCAAGGAACCGGTTATTCATATGCCGTGTGCCAAATCCAACAACCCATCATACTCGCCGAAGAGCCAAACATGATGATGCTACAACCGTGCGACGCAAGGATTCCAAGTTCAGGACTTCTCCACAGAGCTCTGGAAAGGCATGGTCGGCGCAAGTCTTTCACTGAGTCGCACGTCACTTGTGAATTCACTAGTTAAAGGCAATGCCTTCGGCATGCCTTCTCTTTGCAGGTCGGACACGTCTCGGACTATGCAGAAGCTGTCACTGCTGATCATCACTGGTGAACATCTTGCCCCACTTGTGGTGTAATTTGCCGGCTAGCGATGAGATGTGTTTCCCCATGATGAACTCCACCGATGGAACTGCCAAGCTAGCTGCCGCGAGAGCTGCTATGCCGGCATCCCCAATCATGTAAGCCTTGCTGAGCTTGAAGCGGGTCAAGTGCTTGCATTCGACAACTGCTGCCGCAAGACCTTCTGCACCAGAATCTCCGATGTTGCCACTCTCTATCTCAAGTACCGACAGCTGTTTGCAGCTGGCACTTGCTCTGGCAAGAGCTCTAGCACCGGCATCGTCAACACCATCCCCGCGCACCTTCAACCGTCGTAGCTGTTGAGGACGAAGGCGTTCAAGACAACGTGCCAGCTCCAAAATGCTATGCCAGGAGCCCCCGTCGATGCGGAGGATCTCCAGATTCACGAAATGAGGCAAAGCATTGGTCAAGGTCGCAATCTCTTGCTGGGGCAGAGCCCAAGCAATGAGTTCAGTGCGCTGCCCGGCACGCTCCAGAAAGACTTCCTCCTGCAACTGAGTCACAAGTTTAACATCTGAGCGGTGCGTAAACTTCAAACACAAGCCGTCTGCTTGCCCTTTGCCGCCTCGGGCCACTCGCTCCTGAAATTCTGCCGGTGTCATTGGAGAAAATCCAAAGAACACGCTCTTAGTGCTCATCCATTGAACTTCGGCAACACACCAACCGCGCATGGAGTACGGCGTGCTGTTCAGGACCAACTCAGCAAAGGGCCGTGGTTCAAACTTGCCTGTTTTTTCACAATAGATGTCAATGGAACCAGAAGTCGATTTTTCGCTCTCAGGCGTCAGCTCCTCCAAGCGAATGACGCGGCAGATGTGCTCGTGCGCATAGAGCAGATGCATGGACCTCATGGCTCTCGTGAAGAATTCCTGCTCCTCCTCACTGCGCCTGTACTGAGGCAGGCACATAAAATCAATGAATACCCAAAACTGGACATTGAATTGTTCTCTCCAAAAAGCCACTCCTTCCCGAGTCAGGTTGAGAGGAGCGTCAGTACTCTTATTCTGCAGATGCTGCAGGAGACTCTGCAGCTGCCAACCCCATGGGTCGGGATGTTGCTGGGACTCCCATGTGTGTGACACAGACAAGATCACCCGATCTCCTTGCTTCGATGCATCTCCCAATTGCAATTTCCGATTGCGGATTTCCTCAATCGTCACCAATGCTGTGCGGATCTTGCCATCGGAATCCTCAAACTCTTCCGCCTCCCCCTCCTGGCGCCGCGGCCAGATCCGACCGGCCTCCGCGAGCTTGAAAAGATATTCTAGCCGCACCAGTCGGATGTTGGCCTCGACCAAGAAGTTCTGGAGATGCTTCGGATTCTTCAATGATTCCTTCTGTGGCGCCTCTGGCCCTGCTGCTGTCTCCCCCTGCACGTCCGACTTTGCAACTTGTGAAACCGGCTCTTCCGGCAGCTCCGCTGCAGGCCCGTTTTGGGACCTAGCTTGCCGCACTGGTTTCTGCACCATAGCACTGGAGCCGCGTCACCAGCACGCAAGGCCTAACAGGCCTAGCAGTTATTGAGCTTCAACCAACGACAAGGGCACAGGCTGCAAGACTACGTGTGTTCGAGAGAAAGTCTCCACTGAACGTGTCTGCCGAACGGCTCTTCTGAAGGTCAAGTCTCAGAAATGCCTGCAAAGCACATGCAACGTAATCGAGGGCCTCAGAGCTTCAGGGCTTCATGTCTGGAGCCCATCTATTGAATATATGATGTAGCGACGGCGTAGCACTTGCACCTGCCCGCTGTGTATCTCTCGATCTCTTGTGTCTCTATCTCTCAATATCTAGCTGTATCTCTATCCATGTATCTATATTCCTTTCCGTCTAACTATCTATCGATCTGTTCTCTGTCAGAAAGGCGGTCCGTCTGTTCATCAGTCACTGGGTTCAGTCAGTCAGCCAGCCAGTGATCAAGACAACCTTTGTAGCATGAATACCTGAGGCAAAGAACATACATACATTGCATTTGTTAGCATGTACATGATATATATATATATATGTATATATGTATATATATATATTTATTTATTTATTTATTTATGTATTTATATTTGTTGATTTATTTATTTATATTTAATACACAACCTACAACAACTATCTATGTATGTATGTGTGCATGTGCATGACGACGAGCAACTGAGACCCAGGCCGGTGCTGGCACGAAGCTGAGCAGCCGGTCGACGACCGTGCCGAAGAAGAGCTCCTAAACCCTAAACCCTAAACCCTAAACCCTAAACCCTAAACCCTAAACCCTAAACCCTGCACTTGGACTTTTCGACAGGTTCAGGGGTTCTGGGTTGGGGTGTGTTGTCTTGTTTTGGGTTGGGGTGTTAAAATGTTGGGTTTCGGGTTTGGGGTTAAGGGGGGAGGGGGGTTGGGGGTGAGGGTTTCAGGGTTTGGGGTAGGGTTCCCTAGTAAAGGGGATGAAAGCCTAGCGCTCACACGTCGTCAGATTTTGGAAATCTTGTACACTACACCGCCTCCTTACAAATCCGATATGAGCGTCCCAATGGGACCTTCGGAAACTCCAAAGGATGTATTATAGCGGCCTTAATAACTAAAATAAGGTTTGGGGATATATCATACTATAATAATACTATAAAAATAAATAAGGAACCCCCAAAATAGCACAGGAAAATTTCGGCCCTATATTACCCACACCTAACCACGACCCTGTTTCTGTCGAAGCTTTGCTCTTTCATCTTCGTAGCCCTTCAAGGAGAACCCTAAACCCTAAACACTAAACTCCAAAAGCCCTAAACCCTAAAAAAACACCCTAAACCCTAAACTCAAAAAACAGTAAACCCTAGACACAAAAAACCCTAAACTCACAAAACCCTCCATTTCTGCTTCCGCTGCAGTTTTCTTATTCTGGGACAGGTGACCTCTGGAAAGAATCTCCCAAAAAAACAACCCTAAGGGTTCAGGGTTTAGGCTTTAGGGTTTAGTCCAAAAGCTCTACACCCTTACTTATATATATATATATATAACCCTACTCCCGAATAGGGTTTAGGGTTTAGGGTATAGGGTTTAGGGTTAACCCTGTTCCCTACACCCCTAAAAGCCCTAAAGCCTTTAACCCCTACACCCCCAAAAAGCCTACAGTGAGAAACCCTTATAGAGCCCGTCTAGAGCCTTTAACTTACAGGAACACGATCAAGACATATATGGCAATCCGAAATGCTCCAAACCCTGCAACCCTCAACCCTAAACCTCAAACCCTTAAACTCTAAACCCTAAACCCCTGAACCCTAAACCCTAAACCCCAAACCTTCGTTGCTCCTTCATCTCGGGATCCAAGAGGCGGCACAACTCCGCCGCCTGGCGAGTGAGGAGATCTCGTAAGTGAGGAGCTTAGGGCGTTTAGGGTTTGGTAGGGGTTTATGGGGTTTAGGGGTTTAGGGGTTTAGGGTTTAGGGTTTATGATGGGGTTTAGGGTTTAGGGCTTTAGTATGGGGCTTGAGGGTTTCGGATGCTTTGGGGTTTCGGGTTTCGGGTTTGGGGTTGCTCTAAGGGTACAGGGTTTGGGATGCTTTAAGGGTTGAGGGGTTCAGGATTAGGCCTCGTTGTTCTGAGGGGGATTTGGTTTGATTCACTTTTTCTCGAAGGGGAATGTGGCCTTCTGAACCGAGGGCTGACGCTGTTTTTGAGGGTTGACAATTCATTCCTTTCGTAAAAAATTGGTTTAAGGCTCTTCGTTACAGGGCTTAGGATTCTTTAAGACAGTGCTAGAGCTCGCTATTTGTGTTTGCCGAGAGATTGTGGGCTGCTGTTCTTGTAAAGAGGTGCGTGCTGCATGGATGTGTGTGCACGCTGTTTCGGCTGATGTGCCGCGATCGAGACAGCATGCCGTGTGCAGTGTGCAAGCAGGCCCTAATACACTGCGAACTTGTAAGACCACAGAGTTAGCAAAAGGCTTGGGTGCGGAGAACTCAGCTTACGGCTTAAACGGCTTGCGCGACGTTATCCGAAATCCCAGCTACTTGTAACGCTTTATTTTTGTTGCAAGGGCGTTGCTGGCAGAAGGAGGTTGTCGTCAACGAGAGCTCCCTTGCAGGTGCGAACGTCTGCAATGCGAGCACGGCGACTCTGGTCATTGGTTACTGACATTATCTGATACCGTAATGGCCTGCTTGAGAACTGACTTGGCAAGCAGGGTTCGTATCAGAGCTCCTAGTATGGATTTCATCCTTTTAGGGTTTCGGGCTCAGGCTTCGTAAACCCTAAACCCTAAACCTGTCTTGTTGGTAGGTGAACCTCCAAAGGCGCTCGAGCTTTGCAAGAACCTCCCGGTTTCTTTGATCCCTCCTTCGGAGGGAACTCTGAACAAAACCACGAGTGCAACGAGCTTTGGGATCTTCCGGGCGGGGCCCGGTTCTGAGGGTTTAGGGTTTTTAAGGGCTCAGGGTTTTTCATAGACTTCTCTTGATTATCATGGCTTCTTGTAGGGTACTTTCCGAAAGGGTTCTTAATTTTTGGTGCTCATATTTAGAATCCTATAAGGTAATCCCAAAAACGAACTACTATGAGGCCGTAAACCCTAAACCCTAAACCCTAAACCCTAAACCCTAAACCCTAACTTAGGAATCAGGGTTTTGGGAGGTTCGGAGCCTCGGTGGGGTCTATGCGTTCACGACCCTCGGCCGAGTAGCCTCGAGGATGCAACCGCATCTTCACTTTAAGGGTTTAGGGTTTAGGG